GCGTTTCTCCTTCATGTATCACGCGTTTCTCCTTCATGTATCACGTAAGATACCTACCATCTTCACCCTCTCTCTCTCTCTCTCTCTCTCTCTCTCTCTCTCTCTCTCTCTCTCTCTCTCTCTCTCTCTCTGTTACATACTTCAATGAGTATGGGCAGAACCAAAGATCAACCAATGTAGGATGAGCATATATGCAGCGGAAGTCTGATAAACGGACTGACTCACATAGACTGACTCACATAGGTATCACTCCACACACATACAATCATGAGATGGTGGGGTCTGGGCCAAGCACAGACGATGCCCAGATCCCGTACACACATACACAGATGAAAGGTGGGAGGAGAGACGAAGGAGGTGGGGGAGGTAGACAGCACCGATAGGTCACCGAGATAGAATCCGATAGGTCACCGATATGGTAGTCCAAAATGTCATCCAACAAGATCAAAATGTCGAGGACAATCAGCCACCAATGTCGGAGATACAGAGTCCAAATGTAACCGGTGTCCGAACTGTGATGCCGCCAAGTATCAACCCCAACAATCTCCAAGTCTCCAATCCGGTAAGCACCACAGTCTCATACCACCGAAGTCCAACCCTGATCTCTGTCTAACTAGTATAAGTCTCCAATCTGAAGAAGAAGAAGAAGAAGAAGAAGATGGAATCTGAGGAGAAGAAGAAGAAGAAGAAGAAGAAGAAGAAGAAGAAGAAGAAGAAGAAGAAGAAGATGGAATCTGAGGAGAAGAAGAAGAAGGGAGCCGAGGAGGGGAGAGAGAGAGAGGGGACTGGCGATGGGAGGGAGGAGAGAAGCCTCCAACTCCCGATACCTCAGGCGGCTATGGCCGCCGATACACTCAGTCGCCGCTGCTGCTGCTCCGCTCGCTGCTGCTGCGCTAATGCTGCGCTGCACTGCTCCTCGCTCCTGCGCTAAACATAGAGCCAGCGCTGTTTCGCGCTGTACCATACTGTACCGGTAGAATGCCGGTAGGTCGATAGCCTCAATGAGGCTGGACCGGTACTTTTGTACCGGTGGGGCAGAGGCCGGCCTCAATGCTGCGAGGCCTGGCCGTGCCCTGAACCATCAAGATGGACGGTTCAGCCCCAACCGGCGGGCGGCAGCCTCAAGAGCGCCGCCAGGCCCAAACGGTAATGTCGTTTGGGCCTGCCCGTCGGGTCTGGTCCAAGGTAAGGCCTTTACGGCCTGTAGTACCTCCAAGGTCGGGCCTTTAGGCCCTAATATGTCCCTCTATCCCTAAGTCGGGTCCGGTAGGACCCGTGTGGCGTCGAAGATGTAACACTCTCACACACACTCTCTCTCTCTCTCTCTCTCTCTCTCTCTCTCTCTCTCTCTATCTCTCTATCTCTCTATCTCTATCTATCTCTCTCTCTCTCTCTCTCTCTCTCTCTCTCTCTCTCTCTCTCTCTCTCTCTCTCACGCGCGTGCGTGCGCGGTTGGTTTATCAAAGTTCCAAAGCGTACTGTCATGATGGCCGTGTCTAAAATGACAGTCATTATAGTTGCATTTTGGGCAAGCCATCATGACCGTACGTTTCGGAACTTTGATAAACCTACCGCGGGCAAAAGAGAGAGAGAGAGAGAGAGAGAGAGAGAGAGAGAGAGAGAGAGAGGGCTGGAACGTTGTACAGTCCACCAACCAGCCATAGGCGCCATCACAACACCCCTCTCCTCCTTCATCTTCTTCTTCCATAGATCTTAACCTTCGGATGAGACGAGATACTGACTTGCAAGAGCCAACGCTCGCCCCCTGATTTTCATCCCAGACTTCTTCTTTCCCTCCTTTGCATTCATCGAGGTCGCCGTTGCCCTCGTCGTTGGCTCAGACTGTCCACCACTAACATCCTTTCGTTTGTTCGAAGAGGGAGCCGCCCCTGCATCTGGGAAAGCAGTAGAAGATGTGGGAGTTGTGGACGACTTGGCAGCAGACGCCCTCTTGGCAGCAGATGCCGTGACAGCAGCTGATGAGGCAGCGGACGATGACATAGCAGCAAATGGATTGGCAGCAGATGACGAGGCATAAGATGACGTGGCAGCAGATGACGTAGCAGCAAATGGCGTAGTAGCAAATGGGTTGGTAGCAAATGGACTGCCAGCAGATGACGTAGCAGAAGATGACTTGGCAGCAGATGACATAGCAGCAAATGTCTTGGCAGCAAATGGTACCGGTAGGGGCATCTCGAAAATTTTCCTGCTGGCTTTTAACGGCCGTCCGGTAGGGGCATCCCGCAAATTAGGGACCGGTACCGGTAGGGGCGTAGCGAAAAGATTTGAGGCCCAAACGACACCGGGGTCTTATGGAAAATTTGAACCCTGCTCAGAGGGGCGCGACGAGAAATAACGCAAATTACAGGGGCGCCAGACAAATTTTCCCAAAACCGAAAGGTAAAACAAAAAGCATTTGAAAAAGAGAAAGTTTGCCCACAAATGGGAGAATAATAACTCAGAGTATGTTCTTGTGAACGTGTTTGCAAATACGATAACACGTTAGCGTGTTCGTGAAACCCTCATGGTACACGACTTATAGGACTATGCACAGAATCTTTTGAGATAATTAAAAAAAATGGATATGTCAATTCCTGAATACATGGTGCTTCGCCTAGTAATGATTTACTGTGGAAAAACCCGCTTTTTTCCTCGCCACTTCCAGTCGTTCTCAACAAGTTTTTTTTTTTTTTACTTCGCAAAGAATCTTGCTCCTACAGGAGGCCTAAAAACCGTACTCTCAGAATCCTAAATAAATTTCGTTCAAACCCAACATTTTTTCTTTGTTGGGTTTTCACGAATTCTTCAGTCACTGTTGCAATCTTTCCCTGAAGTAGCCAGTCCCTTAGGAATACTCGTCTCTTTTTTTTTTCCTTTTTTTTCGTTTTTTTTTTCTCGGGAGGGCTCCATCTATTGGTGGGGAGGAGCACCTGCTGGAAAGCGGGTCCAGCGTCCCTAAGCATTAGAAGTCGAATGATTAAACCCTTGTAGAGGCACAGGCAATTATTGTATGAGCAGCATTGATTGCCCTCCTGCGAGGGGATTGACTGCCCATAACAACCCTAGGACCCTCACCCTATCCTGATCGACTATCATGGCAATTCTTTGACATGAGAAGCGGGGATAGATCTGGACAAAGTCTAGGTTCGCTATTACACACTTATCTAGGGTTGCCCACACCAGTATGTCCCCCACAATCCTAATCAGCAGCAAAACCACTCAAATGGGGAAGGCACTGTTACAAAACAATTCAAAGCTACATACCTACATAGCAGGACACAAAACATTCGCATAAACAGCCCTGGTGCCTGACCCCACTGCACCTCCTGCCCTGCCACGTGGAAGAAACCTATGTATGTATCAAAAGATATGTGCCCACCAGCAAATCTGATCAATCGAAGTCATGCTCAAGCGGGAAAAAGTTGAGGAAAGTCAAATCGCAATACCCACGTGGCAAAGCACAGATCATTCGCATAAGCAGCCCCGGCGCCGATCCTCTCAGCACCTCCTGCCCTGCCACGCGGCCAATTCCTATGTTTATAGAAGTGTAAGAAAAGCTAAAATCGCCAATTCCACATGGCAAATCACTGAACAAACACATGAGCAAACCCTACCAGCAGTGTTGCCACGCGGCCTGAGACAGATGCGGTAAAGTCTGCCAATCACCTTCCACCCTATCCGACCTGGCAGTCTGACATTCTCTATCCTACCCCTTGGCGCCCCCATCCCACTCCTTGTTCCTCACACACCCTTCCAGTTTACAGAACACTCCATTCAACAGACCCACTCGCCCTTCCCCCCCACGCGGCCTTGAGATAGATGCGGTAAAGTCTGCCAATCACCTTCAACCCTATCCGACCCGGCAGTCTGACATTCTCTATCCTACCCCTTGGCGCCCCCATCCCACTCCTTGTTCCCTCACACACCCTTCCAGTTTACAGAACACTCCATTCAACAGACCCACTCGCCCTTCCCCCCAATCAACACTGGAAATCCGGAAGATGGACAACAAGAGGAGAGGGAGGGGAGGGGGGGGGAGAGAATGCTCATTCGCACTTACCACACTGTCAGTGTTGTTGTTGTTGTTGTTGTTGTTGTTGTTGTTGGTGGTGGTGGTGGTGGCCTGTGCGTATGTCAGCGTCTTAGTCGCAGGCACCATTGGTATGAATGATGCTGCTGATGTCGTGGTCGTGTGCACCATCTTTGTTATTGATCGCCCCAAATCATGTATACTCATCGTGGCAGGCGCAGGGGCGATGATCGATGATGTAGGAGATGAAAACGTGGTTGCATTTTTCGAAGTTGGCATCGCGGTCGTTGTGAATGTTGTCGATGATGCAGCTATCTGCAGAGCCGTCGTTGTAGATGATGACATAGTGGTTGGTGTTGAAATTGCTGTGCATGTGATTGGAGAGATCCTTCCTGGAGCAGATGCCGACAACACCTTTGTCCATTGTTTGATTATCTCTTGTCCCTGCTCATGACCTTCTTCAAAGACCTTGAGACAGTCGCTCCAGATAGGGTTTGCCTGATGCCAATCAACATACTCATCCAGCTCCTGTGGCGGCCCCTCCTCGAATGGCAATATTATTTCCATCATCTGCTGCACCGTTTCCTCTGCCCATCTGGCCCCAGATGTCACCCCCCCTGTAACCTCTGGCCCAAGCAGAGAACGGGACGAAAGCAGGGAAGCCATAACCCGGAGTTTTGCTCGCCCTTCCTCCAGCGCGGATAGCCAACCGCCTGTCGCTCGATGCAGCTCTTCTTCTACTGACATCTTGCCCTTGGAATTCCTGTAGCTTCGTCAGCTGCTTCACCGTTTCCACAGTAGTTGAATCTAGTGACTCAAACTCGCTATCGCGTGCCGCAATCCTGCGCAAAGACACTCCAGCTCTGGTGAAGACGAGGCTCACTCGAGCTTCGTTACCATGATCGCCGTCGACGACCACCTGGTCTCCCACCATGCTAGTCCCCTCCTCGGCAGTGCCGAGGACCCTGGAGCAGATGCCCGCTGCTCCTGATTGTGAGCCTTTCTGGTCTGCCTTTCATGGCTGCCGTCACCCCCCTCCATCTGCTTCAAATCTCTGTTTCCGCCATCCTCAACAGTAGGGTCCACATCTCTTCCCTTGCCCCTTCTGATCCCTCCGTTGCCTTGGCGCACCTTTTCCAGATGACCCACAGAGCCAGTTCACTGAGCAGGTGGAACCAGACCTCCTTGAGGCCTCTGAGATTGTTAAGGGTGTTCGATAGTAGGATATTCTGAGGAGCGGTGGCGGGGGGCGGTGATGAGAAGAGGAGGCGGCATAGGTCTTGGACCTTGTTTCATATCTAGGCTGTTTCGGTGCAGTAAAGGAGGCAGTGGGGTATAACTTCTGGCCTGTTGTCGTCGCACAGTACGCATAGTTCCAAGCTGTTAGGGTCCGTGTGTTTTCTCCTCTTGTGGAGCCATCTCTTCCGGCATTCCGATTTTGGTAGTGTCCTAACTTTCATGCACACTGTCTTTCGGGACATTCGTTAAAATTGGAATGATACAGAGAAGATTAGCATGAAGGACATGACGCAAAAAAAAAAAAAAAAAAAAAAAAAAAACCTTTCCTGCACACTGAGTGGGCATCTGAAGATGCCACCTTTTTTTTGTCCAGCTGATTCTGGGTAGTTGGCACTATCTTCACTGAGGATGCAGCGGGCATCTGAAGATACCACCTTTTTTTGGGTGCAGCTGATTCTAGGCAGTGGGCACTATCTTCACTCAGTCTGGTGTGTTGCATGTGTGTGAAGATCGGGGGGGGTCCGGAAGGGGCTAGCATTAATAGCAATTTAATGGGGCAAGTACGTTGAGGTCATAACCCATGGAGTTCAAAGAGGCAATTATAAAAGGGCCGAGGCACTTCGTAATATGTGTGGGTGTCATAACTACAGGGCCGGGCCGTCATGATTAGTTGCCCGGAGTTCAGAAACAGCAAAAAACAATGACAGCTATTTTTGCATTTTTGCTATCTCGAACTCAGGCAGTGACAAGTATAAAAAAGTGAAAGCGAGAGAGAAGTACTCAGCAAGCCGTACGCGACAGTCGTCGCGTCAAGTACACATAAAGCCAAACGCCAAACTCATTCAATAGAATGGTTTAGAAATATAACAAGAACACCATTCAGGATCAGCGTCCCCGACGCTGCGTTTCGGCTACTGTCGTTGCCTCCTCAGGGGGTTCGCCACCAAACATCCACGAACTATCCCTACGTTCATCACGCCCACTTCCGTCACCCCTACTATCCCGGAATAGCAGGATGTACCGTTAGTCCTGAAAAGAGATCGACCTTCACGGCACTACTGTATTTAAGCCGGTCGTCAATTATCCAAAACAGTGTCGCGTTCCAAACCAAAGCACACAACTACAAAATCAGCTCGGGTACCAGTCCCAGTCCCTGGGATTAGTACCTCGGTCCGTTACTCCAAGAAATCACGCCTGAAAAACGAAAAGGCAAACAAGCCCTACCGCATGATCCTGATCCGTCAGGAATCAAATCAGGAGACCGAAGCAAACAACCCAAAGGAAACACCACTGCAAACTCGACTATCTACACAACTAAAAAAGAAATCCTGACAGTCAAACAGACCATACTCCTACTCCTTCATCTGAAACCCAATCTAGGAAGAGCACCCCATCCTACGTCCACGGATTGAGGCAAATCCTACAAACTGCAAACTCAACAAGCATCAGAACACACTTCTATTCCTTCATCTGAGCCCCAATCCAGAGAAAACCACAGACTAATCGGCAAACCCTGTCCACAGATCTAAGAACACACTACATGCTTAAGCAGAACCTGCTTCTTCCTCAGAGCCTAACTCCATTCCTCACTACAAATCAGGTTTACTGCCCTCCTCCAAATGCAAACCTTCTCAAAACTCTTTCAAACTTTTCACGTGGGTAACCTTTCATCCGCAGTTCCCTTTTCACAGTGAGGACTCTCAAAGGGATCTCCTCACGGATTGTAGTGTTGCGTTCAATACGGTGGAGATGTCCATCGATGATCGCATTCTTAAGCTGTTTACTCCCCCATGATGAGAAAGACTGCCCGTTTTGGAAAGTCAGCTTCTCCCCTTTCCAAATGGTCTCCTCATTCTTGACCAACTGAACATGTCCCAAATAAGGGAAAGTCTGAGAAGTGCGGACTTCACAACCGAGGAATTGCAAGACACCTGATCCGTCATCTGTTCGTTTGAGCAACAAGTTCTGCGGGTAGCAGCTCTCAAATCGACTCAAAATCTCCTTCCGATCGTCTGCAGGTAACAAAGTTGTTACAAGCGTGACGTTGTCAATCAACCGAATACCAAAGACATGCCTCCTGAGTCTGCCCAGGCTACCAATAAACTTCAAGTCCGCCATAGCACACATGATACAAGCCAATGGGGGGCTCGTGCTCTTCCCCATCGGTATTCCCACCACCTGTCTCAGCAGCACACTTGTTGCAAATGTGTAYGTGTGGTGAAGTTYCAGGCAGACAAACTTMACTAMATCAGTCAACTCCARGCATCTCCAGTGAKCRGYGCCGGTCGTCTTCCYGAATGTCACCMCTTTCCCCCTTGTGTTTACCCGGACTGAACTCACGCCCTTTCCCTGGTAGTGCATGACAATCCAATGAACCGCATCCATGATGTCCTCATGAGGGAGCCGGCTGAACATCTCTTTGATGTCAAAGGAAGCCGACTCCACCTCCAATGTACCACCCTTCGTCATGATCAATCGGTTGATCCGTAAGAGACGACCTGCAGGTTAAAATGTCAGTCGATCGGTAAGCGAAATAGGAGGTGGTTGAGGGCCTTCGCGACCAGTCCGCCCGTGCGAACCATCGGTTCGTTGAAAGTCGGGGAGATCGATCGGTATTGGCTTGTCTTTATGCTAGGGTAATACATACGACACACCAAACTTCCCTTTCGGGTCCCACTGGACCACCTCCTTCAAGCCACTCGCCACCATCTCCTGCTTGATACCATCGATGATCTTCTCAGGTGGATCCTGCACGATCCTGTAGCCAACACTTGTAACAAAAGTACTCATCATGGCGGCATGATACACCCGCGGACACATAACCAGGGTATCTCCGGGGTTCCGATCGAGAGGGGTAAGAACGAGTCCCTCCAACTCTTTCTTCACCTTCAAAACATCATCCAAACATAGCTTCGTGACTCCTATAGTACAATCATCAACACACCTTGCTACCTTCTCCCTCGAAAACACCGGAGTCTGTCCCTTCAAATTCTTCCAACTAGCAAATCCTTCTACGATTTCCCTCTGCAGGCGGTCAACGCGATTACGGGCTAAATCCCACGCAACATCATTAGCATTAGATAAGATTTGGTGGTGTGGTTCCCCGTCTTTAAGGCGGAAGCATACATGTCCTTCCGATCTTGGATAGGACATCCCTGCGCATGCACAGGTCGAAAACTGACAAGCAGCGAAAGATCGCTGATTATAAAGAATATCGCCGATCGATTGGTTTTTAGTTTAAACAATTCGAATCTTCTTCCTGGCACGCTTCCGAAAACAATCCGGCAACACACAATCCATCATTCCATCATTCGCGAGGTTACGAAGTTCATTCAAGCGAACACGTTCGTCATACTTTACCCGAATAATAAGGTCAGCAGACATACTCAAGTCAAACCTTTCGCGGATCACGCGAGATATCAGTCGTCTAAGATACTTACGAGTCGACTTCTTACGGAAGTCCTTATAGGCTCCATACAGCCTAATAGTAGATCTCAGACCCCACTTGCGGGGAGTGGTTAACCTACGCAGGTTCTTTAAGATATCGATGAGAAGCTGGTTAAGGAAAATGCACTTCGACTTCCAAACTCAGAGATATTCGAAGTCAATCTTTCCACCCTCCTCAAACACCCTCTTGCAGGTTTTTAAGCGCTCCTCCTCACCATCAATCCAAAACAGTTGACTCACCAAAGCGCTTACGAATCTTCTTCCATCCAATCGTCCAGGCGTTTCCTCCACTCGATACTATTGAGAACTTCCGCACGCCTTGCTTCTCTTTCTCCAGAAGGAGCCCTTGTAGTTCCACTCTCCGGACAGTGCTATTTGCATCACGTACTTTGATCGGTACAATAGATAGGTTGGTATAGCGTTTCCCTTCACTCTTCGTTCTCTCATTTCTCCCACTTCGCGGTTTCTTGTGGCCACGACCACGCTTCCTACACCCGCTCGTGTTCAAGAACGGTGACCAACGCCGGATATACACACCTTCCAAGTTAACTAACTCGTTGCCCTCCAACCGGTCAATAGGCATCAAAACATAGTTACAGTGGCCAAAGCAGCCGAGCCAGCGATGGAAGTGAGTATGTTTCCTATTTTGACACGCCGCAAGATGCTCTCTCCACCTGACGTTGATGTCCCGATTGGTCTTCCCCACGTACTGGTGTTTGCAGAAAGGTGACAAAGCCACGTAAACACAACTCTTAACACTTGCGAAGTTAACACCAAATTCAGCGATGAGCTTCTTCCAGTAGGTCAGAAACTTCCTCATCCACTTAATTACTCCACGAAATGAAAGGACAACCATACACAATCGTAGCAGTTCTTCCACCTCACTAACCACGCTACAGTCCTTACCCCGTAATCTAGTCAGCTCGTGTACTAAGCGCCATATCTCATCAGTTCCAAAACCACATCAAGCCTCTTCCTCCTGGCCTCCATCATCACCAATCACCGATGTTTCTTCCTCGGCTTCAAAAACTCCCGACATGTGGATCGGTTCAACCTCCCCGAAGTTCTTCCTAGTCCGATGACTTGCGATATCAAATATCGCATCGATCTTGTCGTTCTACGCAATGCCTTCGTCCTTGCATATCGCATGCAACTCCTGTGCGTCTAAATTCCGGAGTTCTTCCATAGCTTGGTTGCGGTAGCGCAACTTCGCGACAGTGCCCGGTTGTCCCGGGGTCTTCTTCATCTTCGTCAGGTAAGGAGAAAGTTTAATCTTCATCTTTGCCTTCGATCGCGTAACCCGTGTAGTAGCCACCGCTACTTCCTTCGTTCCACGTGGTGTCCTCTTTGCTGGCGTCAACATCGGTGGGCTGTCTTCAAATACGGGCTCCGGTCCCCTCGTATGCTTCTCATGGATTGTCAACTTTTGCGTTTGAGAGCGGATTTCTTCAGTATCGCTTCCATAGCTCCCCGGTCCCGACTCCGACCCAGGGTCCGATATACAGACCACTTGCTTCTTTTTTCGTGTCTGTTTCAGGACATTAAGGACTGGTCTGAGGTTAGCTTCCAAGCGATCGAAAAAGTCGCCAGTCTTCATTGCTAGCTGCATCTCCATCTTCTTTTCAAACTCGGCATCCCTCTCTTTCTCCTTTTGTAGTTTCTCCAACCTCTTACGCTCCTTCTTCTCCTATGCTTTTCTCTCAGCCGTCTTACGCTGTTCCTCTTCTTCAGCATCGCGCTTTGCTTGTTCTTCAGCCTCCTTCTTCGCCTTCTCACTCTGGACGAACTCCGAGACAGAAGCGAGACTGCGGTTGAGTTCCTCAATTTGAAGGTGGACCTTATCCACCTTCTTGATAGAGGGCTCCTTGGGGTTGCCTCTTAGTGATGTCGATCTTCCACGCTGAGTCTCGGAGGAGGTAGATGGCCGGTCATCCCTCGACCGCCATCGGTTCTTGCACTGGTTAGCATAATGACCACGTTCATTGCATGCAAAGCATCTTGGCGGAGAGCGGCGATAGTGCTTGTCCCTGCCTGAGTCTTGTCCACGGTCCGAGCCACGATAATTCCCGCGATCCTGGCTATTTGAACGTCGGTCCCTTCTGTCGTACTCCCGGTGGTCACTCATCTTCACGAATCAACTCCTTCACATATCGTGTAAACGACGTATGTTGGAAAGTAGGAACACGCTCACAAATCTCAGTAATTTCCTTCCAAGACTGTTCACGTGCGCAGTAGGTAGTATAAAAAAGTGAAAGCGAGAGAGAAGTACTCAGCAAGCCGTACGCGACAGTCGTCGCGTCAAGTACACATAAAGCCAAACGCCAAAATCAGTAGAATGGTTTAGAAATATAACAAGAACACCATTCAGGATCAGCGTCCCCGACGCTGCGTTTCGGCAACTGCCGTTGCCTCCTCAGGGGGTTTGCCACCAAACATCCACGAACTATCCCTACGTTCATCAAGACCGCCAGCACTTTTATTTTTTCTCCCGCCCATTTCAAACTAAAACAGGAAAAATTTTGAAATGCCCCTCCGACTTCCATTTATTTGTGGTATGCCCCTCCGATGGCTGACTTATCCTGTCGTGCCCCTCTGACAACGATTGAAGCTTCCGAAAAACCCCTGGCGTCGTCTGGGCCTGATATATGTTCAATATGCCCCTACCGGTACCGGGTCCAAATTTCCAGTATGCCCCGGTAGCTTCCTTCCCACGGCAAGGGGAACGGCCGCGAGTGCCACCAACGACCAGAAGGGCATGCTGGGAAGTTGCACCTCTCACTGACAGGGCCTGCAGGGAACTTCAGAGGTCCCAGGGGCACAACAGGGTACGTCGGCCGTCAAAGGGGCGTACCGCAAATAAATGGAAGTCGGAGGGGCATTTTGAAAAATTTCCCCAACTAAAATTGTGACTCAGATGCAGTTATTTCTTATTATTATTATACCCCATGCTGGGGTCTGGTCAAGTCTTTGTACTAAATGTGTACTAGTTTGTGCACATGCACTGGCCATGGATGAACAAAATTTGATATCCTGCAAGCCGGGTGAAGTGTCGCACAAGTGGCTTGAAGTTCCCCAGGGGTGAAGTCCCATAGAATAAAGGATGGAATAAAGCTCCTGAATCTGGACATGTTTTATGGAGAGATGCAGAAAAGCAGTTCAATCTTTGATTTTCTGCACTACTCCATAAACACATCCAGATTCAGGCATTCAATCCAATCCTCTTCGCTAGTGGGACCTCGCCCCAGGGGTGAAGTCCCACTTGGCCTGGCGGTCCTTCATTTCAATTCCAAACCCTCGATACAAAGATCAATGGTCAGTAATGCAGAATCCGAGCAGGTGGAGCCTCACCCCAAGTCTCCACTGCAGCTCATTTTAAACCACCAGTACTTGGCCCAGCTATGGGCTGCGGGCATGTCCAGTTAACGCGCCGCATTGGAGGGGGGTCGTTCACATGAATGGCCGGTCGCAGAAATTGCGACGTAGAAAAGAAAGAATCAAAAAAAAAAAAAAGAACTACTTTCTAAGGGCGTACTCACACTAGCAGTATCTCAAATGTCTCTGACCGCATTGATGCCATAGGTGGATGTATCTGGCCACAGTTCCATCCAAAAATACGGGAAAACGTAGTAGTGTGAGTATGCCCTAAGTAGGGGGGGGTCGTGGTCAGGGCTGTTCTTGGTGGAATGCTTCTAACAAGTATTTCAGGTAGATTCTGGATGTCTATTTTTTCTGCTTTGGTGGAATGCTTCTAACAAGTACTTCAGGTAAATTCTGGATGTCTATTTTTTCTGCTTTTGTTTTTTTTTCATTTTTCTTAGATTCCCCTGCGAGCGAGGCAGGGCATATCCCGTGATCTACTGAACAGCCCTCGTTGAGGGCATACTCACACTTGCACACAGACATATGTATCTAACTCATTTCAGGGCCAATTCATGTTTCGTTTTTTTTTATTCTTTGAGATTCATTTCTTTGTTTTTTTTTCCCTTATTTTACTTTTGGATTCTGACAGAAACGCCACGGCGCTGATACACCCAAAGTGCGACGTGCTCACATTAACACTCGGGAGAATGCATCCCACTGCATTCACATCCAGCGTTGTTGTTCTTTTTTTTTTTTGTGCTGTTTTTGTTTTCCAACTGGTCCCCCCAGCCTCGGCCTGTCCAGCTACTGGTACTGCCAGGCTTGGCAGGCTCGACATACCGGTCGCTGGAGCTCGGACTTGATAGCTGGGCCAAGTACTGGTGGTTTAAGTACAAACTGAAGTTTCAATTTTCAAATGGTGTAGAGAATACTATTTGGATTGTCTCTGCAGAAAAGTGGCAGATGGTAACCACATCAAAGTGAAGCAAAAAAGAAGACCAAAAAACTTTAAGAAAGCCCTTTTGAGCAGGAATAATCTTGGAGGGTAGCAGGGAGGAGCGGCTCGATATGGGTTCCAAACTTGTAATCTTGATTACTATGTGGTATGTATGGGACGCTGGACCCAGTTTCCAGCAGGTGCTGCTCCCCACCAAGAGACCGGAGCACCTGCGAGGGCACTAGGGGGGGATGCT